TTTTTTTTTTTTTTTTTTTTTTTTTTTTGAATAACTTGCTCTTAACAAAAAAATCTGGTTCTTTGTTACAATTAGCAAGTATTATGATTTAGTATTCAAAGCGAGAAAAGTTCAATTTATGTTTAATTTGTCAAAGATATCGCTGCTTTGATTATACTATACATGTATATTAGAGAGACTTAATTTGTCGAAAGATACATTTGAGGACTTATTAAAACGGTATCGCGATCAATATATCGAATGCAATATTCTTTTGAAATCTTCCTTTAATTTTCGTATTTTACAGTTTTTTAAGTATACTGTTTTCTAATTGCATCGATAATACGATCGTGATAATACACAATTTTATCGATTAGAATTCGATCACAATAGCTGCCTAGTTCTCTTAGATTACTTTCTTTCTAAAGGTAACTACATAGGATACGTAAAGTACTAATAATGGAAATGTAAAAATAGTAAAGAGATACTAGGGCTGCTCTTGCATACGACGCCTCAACGATGTAATCTTTATATTATAAAATGTACATGGTAAAAACTATCGCGATAAATTAAATCAAGGATATAAAAAGAAATATCCACATAAAAAGTATCTCGAAATAAAAGATAAAAATATTAACTAACCGTGAATAAACGCATGGCAAATAACCAATACGTCAATCATGTTGATTGATACGGCAAGACAATAGTATAATCATACTCAAAAACTGAGCGATAGATATTTTTGTAAAAACATTGTTTACAGCTAGAGGAAACACATACTAATGATAAATCTTGTCAAAAGATATAAACGACGAATTAAAGCGAAAATTATTTATTATTATTACTGAGTTATTTAATTCTCAATGATAACCGGTACAATTTATTTTCATGAAGTTTCGCGCTTAAACGAATCAGTCTTTGAAATCAAGTCATATATAATCACGAAATTGATAATTCGTCGTTTAAAGACAAATATAAAAAAAAATGAAATGCTTTGCGGACCATATAATATGACTTCTAATTAAAAAAAACATGAATGGAACATGTCGAAGAAATATGATAACTTTATATATGTACATAGATCGAAGATACACCATATATAATGATGAATCTCATTTAAAGAGAGAGAGAGAAAACCTATTCCACTCGTTCCCACTTCGTTCGCCAACTTTTTAAAATCTCGGATTTTATTTCTAACTATGATGTTCTATCTATTAACGTAGAAGAAACGATATGGAATAAGTAAGTCAAATGTACCTTTTTAATTTCGTGCTGTGCACATGATAACACAGTACTACCCAGCGTACTAGACTGCAGTTATCTAGAGAGTGCCTCGAAGCAATGATTACTAATTATCGACCAACTTCTACCAATTTCGCGATTAATTTTGTACATTCTCTTTTTGTATAAGCGATTTATCTAATTTCTCCTTGCAATATTTGCTACGTTACATTACATCGATAATTTTTTCTTTTTCCCCAAACACAAAACGAATTATGTATTTTACTATAAATCGTAAACTACATCTGTGTCTCTCTGTTACACTTTGATGATTACATCGGTGAGGGAAAGGGGAAAAAGAAAAAGATTTATTTTTCTTATAAATACAGAACTATCAAGATTTGTGAAAAATGTATGTGCAGATAATTTTGTATCGAGAAAAATTGATAAAGTGCAGACTTATGAATAAATGCTAAGATTTACGCTCGTTTTATCGTACCCTCAAGAAGAAGGGACAAGAATGTACGCGCGAATTATCGCGTCGCTCATTGGATATTCCGCGAATGAAGCAGTCGAATACGATTTTGTATTGTTCGATCGCGGTCAGATGGCGCATGGTGTCTCATTTATGAAACAGAACGAGATGTCGCTTTTTAACATCTCAGTACTTTACGTCCCTGCGCAATATCCCGAATAGAATCGTGAATCAAAATTCGAATTCGTCAAAGGAGAAGATTTTTGACAAGTGCAAAATTCTGTTCCCTACGTGTATGTTTCGGGATGTACGGGCTATTTTTGTGTTATTCGAGAACACTTGGCCAGGAGTAATGTTTCCACGATGATTTACAATCTAGTACGCCGGAAGAATATCTAGACAGCTGAATCCTTTCCGACGAAACCGGTCTTTGAAACGGATCTCTTCCCGTCAAATGTGATAGATGTCTCCCGACGCAGGCCCGAGTCGATGATCGGTGTGATTTTCTTCTCTTCCTTCAGTGGCTCCTTTTCGTCTCTAAAATGTTTCAATAGAAATTCACGGTTATTAATAGAAAACGATTTGTCAAGTGCTTTTTTACTTCTAGTATTGGGCATAAAAGAGCATGTCGAAATGCGACGCGTGGTGCAACATTGAATAATACGCATAATGCATGCTATTACTCGTTAGTATTGTGTATTTGCAATAGGGATTCCTATATTTCTTTTCATCTTGGCATATTTTATGTAATAAGATGAACGAATAATTGAACTTGGATTATGTATAAATGTTGCAGTACGAAAGAAATTTGCGTGGTAAAATTCACATTCACGAAAAGGTAAGTGTGTATAATAAAATGTTCAATCATTAAAATATTTGTAGACCTTAGAGTTTATGTTAGATTATATTTTACGAATAAAAAATATTTCGATTTTCATATTAACCTTTCTAACAAGGCAATGGAATTGAATTACCTACTTTCACGGTTCAAATGGAATAGGATTAGAGCGAATGGTGGTGAGTGTGCTATGTAGTTAACGAGCAATTAATATCACTTCAGAGTGTTGATCTCTCATGCAACATAGCCAAAGCATGGGCGAATAATGACGATAATTTATGCAACACGTGTAGAGGATGACAGAAAGATAAAGATAGGTAGATAGATAGAGAGATAGAGAAACAGAGAAACAGAGAAATGGAATGCGCGCCGAAGAAAAAAAAGAGAAAAGAGAGAAAAAAGTAAGCATTAAATGAATTGAACATGGTTAATAATGTATAATGTTCTTTTGTACGAAAAGTGGTTGGCGGCAAATTAAATTATATTAAAATAAAATAAAAGAAACGGAAAAAAAAAGACAAAGTTTGTTTCATGCTGCAATTTTGTTTCATCGACGGGCATTGTCAATTTTGTCTTCATAGATGCTATTCTTCATTATATTCGATGTTCCAGGATTTTTATCAGCATCGAGGAATCGAAAAAAATAAAAAAATAAATAAAAATAAGAGGAATAACGTCTGTAGACGTTAATGTTAGGCAAATGAAAAAAAAAAAAAAAGAAAGATATATGTAGAAGTTAAATTAAGGAAAAAAAAAAAAAAAAATAAGAGGAATAACGTCTGTAGACGTTAATGTTAGGCAAATGAAAAAAAAAAAAAGAAAGATATATGTAGAAGTTAAATTAAGGAAAAAAAAAAAAAAAAATAAGAGGAATAACGTCTGTAGACGTTAATGTTAGGCAAATGAAAAAAAAAAAAAAAGAAAAAAATATCATGCGAAGTAGAAAGCCGTGTCAGAGCTCCTTCGTGAGGGGCCATGCTTCTTACTGATTTTCATTTATGTATCTCTCTTACATGGCAGTGTGTTTGACCAATTTAATGGTATTTTTTCCACTACTCGAGTCTTGGATGGCCGTGACCCCGGCGACATTGGCCATTTTTTGGTCGCAATACGGCAATGGAAACCGCCAACCGTAAAGACTACCGGTAAAGAAAAAAAAAAGAGACAGATGCGAGAGAGATGTCAAAGTGTCTCCTAATGGCGAGCTAGATTCTAACGAGTTAACTGGATCATTTAACCATAGAATATTTTTAGCAGGGCAAATATATAACTCCGAAGATTTAATAAAAAGGCGAAAAAAAATTCCTGGTTTCGATTTGTCGAATATTCATTAAGTTAGAATTATAAAAACTCTTTCGTTTAGTTTTTTGTTTGGCATTCCCTCTGTATTAATAAAATCAAAAACACTATGGTCAAAATTTTGATAATTCAAATTTATGAATTTCAATATTATGAATTCATTTTTAGAAAAATTAATATTGATATGATATTTTGAATTAGATATATACTCTTTTAGAGTATATATGTAAGAAATAAAAACAATTTAAGTATTATTTTACAAATATTTTTAATATAGATACAGATTTTTGTTTAGATTTTAATAAATTTATCTGAGAATGATTTACAAAATTTAAATAAATTTAAGAGTTTAACTATAAAAATTTTTAATACTTTGATAACTCTGCAACAAATCAATATTCCACGAATATTCAAATAAGCAAATTCACATTATTCTTCCAACTCGTCCAACGTCCCGTAAACTAATTTGCACGTTAGTCACGGCTCTCTCAGGAATCTCGATTCGAATCGAAAATTCGTTCGACAGGCAGGAGATAAAAGAAAAAAGATCCACGGGGTTCTTGTACGAAGTTCGATGGTGGGCGGAAAGTTCGATGACACGGTAAATATAGCGCCAAAGACTTGCCAAAGCACAATGTAAAATATATGTATAATGTATGTGTAAAATGTATATAAGGATGTCGAGTAAATCAATCTAAAAATCGTGAGTATGTTCTCGTGTGTTACGTGTCTTGTTATCGAAAGAATTTGATTGGAATGAGCCTCACCTGCCAAGTTTCGCGTCCTCTTCGTCCACTGGTTTCCGGCGGGAACGTTCGCAGACGTAGTAAATGATTCCTGTAATAAAAATATCGTGGAATTATTTATAAAAAAAAAAAAAAATAGTAATTAGGTCGATTGTAAAAAACTTTCTCCGTGAAATATTCTTTATTTTTCTTTCCTTTTTTTCTTTGCTCAATAAAATTTACTTCTCGAACCAGGCTAAACTTTACGTGACGATTCAGCGTAATCTAACATTGCAATTTTAGTGCGGAATCACAGTTGCACTTTCAGATAAATCTGCGTTGCAATTTGGGAACAAGTTTACGCCGCGAGTAATTCCAGATAAATTCACGCTGCTATATCAAGCAAATTAACGTTGTAATTTCATATAAATCCAGTTTGCAATTTTAGATACATTCAGAGGGGGCACAAGAGTTAATAAATTCATGCTACGCGTGCAATGTAATACCCTGACGTGATTTTAGGTAGATTTATGTTAAAATCTTGAATAAATTTGTCGTTTCGTAAATTAATTACACTTGCGATGCAATTGTTAATAAATTTATATTATACTTTTGTTTATATTGGAATTCTATTTATTATATTATAAAATTTTATGTTAATGTTCACTGCACGGCGAATCACTGCACGATGAAATATCCCGAATAAATTTGTCACGAAAGTATAGGGTATACTTGTGGTGAAAATTCACATCTTCGCTTGAAATTATATTTATTAAATTGCTATGTTTTGCTTCACAGTTCCAAATCACAGTTTACATTGAATCGGTTTACGTTTTTATTGATATTATTCGGCAAAATTAAATATTATCGTTATGTATCAGTTTAAATTTGTAATTTTAATTGCATTTGTTTCGCAACTTACGCGATTTTCATGTATTTTAATATGAAATTATAAATTTCAATTTATGTTATAATTTTATGCAAGTTGATATATATATATATATTTTATCAAAAAAGATTTTTAATTTTTATTAAAAAATTGCTCGATGAATTAGCGAATTCGTTAAATTTATTTGAAAAAGTATTCTCACCTGTTTTGTGCGCGCAACAGCAAATCACGTCGATCACGATAATAATAATGAACAGTACCGCGATCACAATACCGATTATGGCTGCGCTCGATATCAGAGGACCTTGATGATGAACCACGGTAGTGTCTATACCTTGAAGTATAAGAATTATATATCAGATGAATATTACATTAAAAATACATATTGATCGTTTGCAATCCGTTAGTGCAGAAGCATTACTTAACGATATTTGGTGATGATATGGAAAGGAAATTATTTCCCGTCAAAAATATATTATTTAAAAATTTCAAAAGTTTGTTGTCATGTGAAAATAATTAAGAAAATAAGCTATAATATTCCTTTTCAAAATTACAATATTTTAATTTGTTTAAATTCATAAATAATTCATTTTTAAATAATAACAATAACGATAAGAAATAAAAAACAAGGCAATTTTTTAAATAACGAAAATTGAACTTTTATTACTTAAGAATGTTAGTAAATAAGATTGGATAAATATAATACTCGAAGATAAATTGATTCATATCTGAACTAAACTTCACAAGTCTGAGAAATCGTACATGACAAGAAACCTTCTTCTAAACTTCGCTTCTCGAAATCCTCTTCACTTACATGTTTCCATGTAACCGATTGCAAGTATCCCAAAGCAATAAAAGTCAATAAAATAGACAATTCAATCTAGACCTGATACAACGTCGAACATCACCAAACACGTTACGCGAACGATTAATTTTAGTCTCCTGAAAAGAAACAAGATCGGCGGGGGGGTTCTGGGGAAGTGCCAAAAATCCGTTTTCATCAAAGCGTAGAAGACACGTAAGGAACCAAGAGAACTAAACAGACATACACCAAACCAAACCAAAGCGAATCAACGTACATACGTTATGTATATATATATATATATATGTGTGTATACCAATGAAAGAATGATCGATCGACGAAGAAGCGGTAATAATAAGCGTGATTAAAAACAAATAAAAAAAAAAAAAAGAAATAAGAAACAAGAAGAAGAACAGAAAAAAAAGGATAAACGAAATCATAGGAAAAGAAAAAAAAGAAAAGAAAAGAAAAGAAAAACAAAGTAAGATAGCTGGTGCGCAAAGATACATTTGTGATACAAAGCTAAACGTAAGAGCGACAAAAAGGGTGCTTTGGATTCCCTTCTATTCGGACGCAGAGATATGGGTGCTGAGAAAGCTCAAGGAAGGGGGAAGAAAGCTTCATTCGCTACCTTTCTCTCCCGATGTTAGTTTCTACGCGTCTCACTAGTCTAAATGTGCTACCTCCACACACATAAAGCCATATATATATATATGTATATATATATATATTTTTTTTTAATTCATTGAGTGCCTTTTACACGCGCGCGCGCTCTCTCTCTCTCACGCTCGCTTTTTTGGCTTCAAAAAGTCAACAGAGAGGGACTACTACGATATATATGTATACTTAGCAGATGTATGATACACATTACGCCCATCGTTCAACTCTTCTGACTTCACCATATATTTACCGTTTTCTTTCTCGGCGCATCCCCTCGTGTATTTTCTTTTTCTTTTTTTCTTTCTTTTTTTTCTAGTTTCTTTTGGTTTTCTTTTGCCCTTTTTCTTGTCCTTTCTCTTTTTCTTTTTCTTTTTCTTTTTCGTTGAAAACAGGTGAGCGGAAAATAAACGAGACGGCCGGGAGAGAAACCATCTCAAATTGCTCTGCCCGTTTCGCTCGAGTTCTCTTTGTTGGACCTTAACCCCTTAATGCTTATGTGTTGTCGCGGTCTGATCATCGAAGTGAATGATTCAATTTACCGTGTATCGTGTCTTAGGCTATTCCGTTTGATGCTGTTAATATTTTCTGATGGACACTGATGAATGAATAAGGCTGTTCGATACACGAATGCTTCCGGTCGATCGATCGGTTTTCTTCGAACAAGCTCACTGACTTCTTCTTCTTCTTCTTCTCCTTCTTTTTCTTCTCCTTCTTCTTCTTCTTCTTCTTTGCCTCTTTTGTTTCTCTGCGTTCTTCGACGAGTTTCCTTTTACTTTTTATTTTTATTTCTGGATTTAATTAATATAATTATTTAATTTTATGGAGTTGCATAATTTTTATTTATTGAGAATCGTGAAGAGATCATAATTTTGATTGTATTGGTGGTAATAATTTTTGCAAGAAAAAATTACGAATGTCTGGAAAATATATTTAATTTTATCGTTAGAATTATAGTTATTGAACAAAATATAAGTATTCTCTTGCGTAAATTTTTGTTGTAAAGATAAAAAAATTTTTTAATTCTTTGTTAATATTAACTTTACAAAATTAATGATATAAATTATCAATGAGAAATTGTACTCTTTATTTTTGATATTTTTGATATTATTATTCTACGAATAATTAAATAATTTTATTTATTAATAAATAATACGCTGTAGATGCAATCTTTAAATTTTAATTACTTATTAAAATTGTATCTAAGTAGAGTTCGCAAATTTACAATTAATATCTTGTATATCAAGATATACACGAATATATACACGAATATATATCTCATTAGAGGAGTACGTTTCCGTTTTCATCAAGAATTTAATAAGTTTAATAATCAGACAGCTTTATTTCCTTCGAGTGCATTATTTCGCTACGAATATTCTCGTTATCATATTTCCTTCCTCACATTCCAACCGACAACAATCTCCTCTTTAAGTAATCCTCTTTAAGTAAAATATATAAAACAAATTTATAAACAATTATTCTCGAGACCAAATTTCCAATTCCCATTCCCCCCCATTCCCACACAATTTGTTGCACTTGTAATGACGACTTCTGTTTGCAATCTTCTTTAAGATAAGATATCGCGAAATATACACCGTCCATTATCGTATTAGAATTTAATTTTTATAAAATAAAAATTGTCTGTCTGTCTTAATCCGTAAAACCCGAACAATCATTGCATCAAGAGGTTAAGTCCCTCAGAATAATAATAATATTCTCGACTTCTCATTTATATCCTTGTTTTAATTCTTATTCTAATTCCCTTTTTTTAATTCCAGGAACTTTTAAAGTCTACTTTATCTCCCATTACGGTCCATTACGAGAATCTCCATATAAAATCGCGACTCTCATAGGAGTGGGAACAATTTGATGGTGGCTTCTCTTCTGGCAGATTCATTTGGTATTGTATTCCTTAAACATTCACATATATATTTCCATACTCATATTTACAATAAGTGTGATTTTTTTTTTCCAAAGGGGAAAAAACGGTAACACGTTCAACCCCCTCGTTATAAATACGAATGTATATATATATATTATATAGTATATTAGGCACTATGCTAGCACACATAATTCTTGCACGTGTGTGTTTGTGTGTGAGAATGTTAACTCTCTCTCTCTCTTTCTCTCTCTCTCTCTCGCTCTCTCGCTCTCACTCTCTCTCTTTCTAGATTTTTTTCATATACATATAATACTTATATATACTATATATATATATACGTTTGTACATATACATGTGTATACAGATCGTAATTAATACGTACAATCGCCGGAAATTACACGTGAATATCGCGAATCCTTCATACTGTTGGATCATATTCGCGAAACAAAGTCCCTTTTTCAATCTTCTTTCCACTCGATCGAGCAAAGAGAAACAAAATGGCGCTTAAAGACAGTTCATGCACTGTTCTTTTTTTATTAGACATGTTATTTCCTTGGTTGAAATTTCATTTTCGTTTATCTCTAACGTACCAAGATGGATGATTGAACGTTGTTTATTAAGAAAAATCAAGAATGACATTCTTTTTATTTTTTTCTGTCGAATTGTGTAGGAGAATTGTAATTGTTTTAATTGTTATAGATTTTTATTTATTTTTAGCAACGGCCCATTATTGTATTGCGAGTCACTAAGTTCCATCTAAGTACGCTAGAAGTTCTTCATAAGAAAACTGGGTATAAAAATTTTTATTTTCATTAAAAAAAAGTTTTTAAATCTAATGAATGATTATGCGAGATTAATAGGAATTTTGTTAGATTAAACCCAGTTTGCTTATAAATGTTAGATTTATTTCTATTATATTTCAAAAAATGGTATTTTTTTAACAGAAATTTTTATTCCTTTGCAGCGAAAAAATTAAATCATTAAATTAATCTTACATCTCATCGAATCTATTTTCCTTCACCTCAACTCTAATCCCTCGAGTTTACGTATATATATCTGTCAGAACGCATCGATGAAGAAGAGATACATTTCGTAATAGAAAGTAGTGGACGACCAATTCGAGATCGTCGATTGAAATAAAAAAAAGAAAAAGAAAAAGAAAAAAAAAGAGAGAGAAGATAAAAAGAAATCGTCTCTTCTCGAGTGCTGCAATTGACAGGATCGTGGTCTCGCTATTATCATTACAGACTGTTATGCCAGGTACATTTTTCCTCGGGGAAAAATATCCGATACGAAATGAACGAGAGGATTGAAAATGTAACGATGGTACTGAATAAGAGGGAAAAAAGGAGATATAAAAAAAAAAAAAGAAAGGAGGGGGAAAAAGATTGAAAATGTGTAGGATGACTGCGAACAGTAACGAATTTCAAGGAACGATTTTAGTACGGTAGAAATTAACGATGGAAAATTCCACCCCCGAACTGTGTCCATTTTAATTTTGCTCGTTCACGAATAATTTTTTCTCCCATTTTTACCAGTCGTCCTCATAGTTGATTTGATACAAGGGGACGAAGAGACGGGACTGGAACACACATATATATATATATGCGATATATGTACGAGGAACTGCAATTTTCATGGAACAATATGATAACTTTATGACTTCCATTAATATGGGTAACTGTTCTCTTGGGACGAGCTCGAACGAAAGTGTATTTCTCGCGAATTTTTGAACAGATTCCTTGATCATAGGATCAAGGATCGAATGAAAATTTTCAACCATTTCTTTTCTGTTCCAAATTAACTTTGAATTAATACTTAAATTTAAGAAATTGAATTAAGGATCAAATAGAGATTAATAAATAATTCGTGATAATTATTTCCATTTAGAACAAAATTAAAATGAAAATTAATAAAACAGATATTCATTGTCTGATCTATACAGAATATTAATATATTTGTAATAAACTTTTACGAAGATCGATTTTAGAGATCAAAATCAAAGTTGTTATTCAAAAATAACTATTTTAATTTTAAGAAAGAAATTCTAATTAGAATAAACGTTTAAACCATTTTTCTGCTTTCGAAAAAAAAAAAAGAAGAAGAAAAATAAAAGTTTTATATTTATGAAAATGTATGGGAGAAAAATTTCAACAAACTTCACTTGGAACAAAAGATATAAAAATTAACGATTAAAAAATTCAACCGTTTTCATCCAATATCTGGTTGGAATAAAGGAATTTTCTGGCCTTCGAAGAGAGGAAGTCGGTAATTCGAAAGTTCTTTAACAAGCGGCGTGCGAGAGACAGGGAGTGGTGGCAAGAATCTTTCCAGGAAGGTACCGTACTTGTCCACCACTTAAGTCACGATTGCGTTATCGTGAGTTCGCGAGGATGCACACGCGGTTGGGATATGCCATGTGCCTCCCTCGAAAATAGATTCACGGCTCTCTCGACATTGCACGCTGCACTTCATATCGCGAGTTAGGCTGCTGTTGGTAAGCTCTTTAACTTTCTCTTTTCCGCTTCTCCGTTGCGTGTTGATCCTTGTTTAGTAACATGTCACCTATTTATAACCGGCTCTCTGTTTCGGGACGAAGCGAGTTCCTCGAATGAGTTTGCACGTAGATACACACTCGTTGGAGGTGAAAATATTGGCACCATGAGATTATAATTAGAAATGTTACTTAATTCTTGGGGTATGGAATTTTTGGAATTGAATATAATAGAGTAGAATAATTAAGAAGAATTCCTGAGAATAAATAATATAAATTTTGAAGAATTTATTTTTTTGTTTTAATAGAAAGATCAATGGAAAATTAATGATTAAAGAATAAGAAATCTTACTTATGAAATTATTTAAAGATAAAGATAATAAAGAGATTTAAGATATTTACATTATTTAATCACGGAATTTTTCGAAGCAAATGAAAAATAAATAAATGAAAATAGAAGTTTATTTAAGAAAGGAGCTTTTCAGATATCTTTTCGGTCCAATATTTATTCGTGAAAGATATAACTCAAAGAAAAGATATTCATGAAGCAACTACCTCGAGAAAAAGAATCTTATTCAATGGGAAATGGAAACTTCGATTTTTAATAAATATTGAAATTACTGTTGAAAGTTACAATAGTAGTCTCTTCTCGAGAAAGATTTTAAAAAGAATCTTTTCGAGTTTCTATGAATTATCTACAAATAAATCCCATGTGTTCCTCTTTTATCATCCAACAGTATCTGAAATTTCCTCTTGTCGAAGAAACGAATGTTCGCACCAACAGTCGCTTAACCCATAACTAAAAGACTCTACGTGATATATTATTTTATGTAGTTGAAAAAATATGTCTCCTTTCTTTACATTTTTCTAAATTTTTACAGTTACATAAAATCTTTATGTAACTGTAAAATATTATATAACAAATTTTGTTTCGTAAATATAAAAACAAATTTTAATTTAATATCTCTATTCAGAAATTTTATTTAATTCTCTTTTCAAAACTATACATTTTAATCCAAATCTTGTTAAATCTTCAAAACAAAAGGCATGAACATTTTCTTTGCATACTTGAATGTTCAAAAAATGTAAATCTACGAAGTAAAGTATATCCAAAATATTCACGTTTCAACGTTCAACGCGTAGAAAACAATGTTTACAAATTCCTATTTAGATTCCTTTAAATTTCATTCGTGGAAACAATAAAATTTCCATAATTCTAAATTTCACCAACTTTCAAATTACATTTCGTCAGTAGTTAAACAAAGAAGCTTCTGCCATTCCGTGTTTTCTTCACCAAGTGTCATAAACAATTTCACAATGACAACGGCTCTTTATGCCAATACTTTCACCCGGCATCTCTTTTTTTCCCTCCCTCCCCCTGCTTCGAAAGCAGAGAGCTCGGAAACACACAGAGGGCGCCTCTCTTCGTCCATTTGCATTCTCCTCGAAATTATCTCGCCTATCTTCCAACCGAGGCAGTACTTCGTGGCATACTCGCGCCGTTTTAAGTTGCAAAATTGCATCCCCAAGAAAGAGGGGAAGCTGCATAGAGAAGATTCGAAGAGGAATGCTAAGGAGATAGGTGGAGAGAGAAGAAGATCGAACAAGAGGATGCAATTCACCAAAAGGGAGGGGGTTCTTGCGCTCTCTATTATAAGTTATACGGCCGCGAGACCAGCCTCGAGAGTTTTAATTGCGTTACAAGCGAGCCATTATACCGAGTTTCGACGATTAATCTCGAAATCTGCCTTCTATCGGTCGAAGTTCGCTTCGTCCAGATGCCTTTGGACGCGATGCAAGCAAGGAAGTTGATAATAGACGGTGTGTATATATATATATATATGTGTTAATTTGGACAAAGAAACAACGATTTTAATGGAGGAAAATGAATATCGTTGTTAATATTCAATTACGAGATCCATTTTAACTCGATTAGAAAATGTGTATTTATATAAGACTCAGGATCTTATATAAGACTAAATATTACTTATCATAGTACCATAAATACATTTCATAAAATTTTCAAGTGATTTCTGTAAATTATTCAATTTGTGCGAGAAAGAGGAAAGATTGACATAAATGATTTATCTCGAGGTTTCCATTTTTAAAAAATTGATGGAGATAGATCCATCCAAAAAAAATTGGATAAAAGAAGAAATCGTTAAAAAAGAGATATTTATATATTGCAAAAACTGATATCAAGGATTAATTAAAATCTACTGAATTATCTATTAAATCGAAGGATGTGAATCGATCTTATATGCATATACACGCGCACCAATACCAATCCATCGAGTAATTTCACGCGGTCAATTATTTCCGGGATCGGCACATAGCCATTAACGCGTCCCCGAATCGTCGAGCCAGACGCGGTTTGCACAACCACAGATTCAAAAACAGAGAGATTCACGGAGAGGCGAGAAACGGGCTCGATCGGCTTGTCCCTAGGAGAACGAGAGACATTCCAACTCCTTGTACGCTCGTTTTCACCGGAAACA